TAATAGATATGATGGCATTTGCTGGATGTCATTGTTCCAGTGGATTTTGTGAACACATCCTCTTCACACCTCCCTTGACACTCTAGATCAAAACAGGGTTTCATTTAAGTAGAGCTTAAGGAGCCAAGTGGACTTTGGGGAGCCCAAAAGTACGGCACGAAAGCAAAGCATTTCCTTGTCATTTGTCCACTGATGTCCTTGTCAAATATTCACTAGGGCACTGCTTGTGAACAATGCTACTCTTGTGGCAAATTTTCTAGGCCAAGCTTGGTTGTGGAGAAGCGGACCTTTCTTCTATCCAGTTCCCAAAAGACAGCTTGTCCTTGGCTCCCTGTGTTCGCAAAGGCAGTCAACACTACTTCTGAAACAATGCATGAAAGATTGTTTAGGTGGTGCCCAGGTGCCTCCTCCGAGGTGAACTTTAAGGAAAATACAGATAAAATTTCCATGTACCAAAGAACAAAACAAGCAAATAAACAGGCTTGCTTTCTCTCTCTCTCTCTCTCTCTCTCTCTCTCTCTCTCTCTCTCTCTCTTTCTTTCTTTCAAGAAATGTAACATTATTAGTTTTTGTTTGGAAAGTACCTAGAAGAGTGTTGCATTCCCAAATGCAGTCTCCAAAATTCCATTCCACCCTGCGAAAGACTCAAAAGTTAACTTGAAGAACATTTTGTCCTTTATTCACTGGACCAACTATCAGATAAATATTTTGGCATCAAAACATTAACATGGGCTAAATTACATATTCCCATCAGACTAAGTTAACAGACTACTTTTTCACACCACTGACTGCAAAATGCAGTGCAGGACAACTGCAGCAAATGTTTGACCTGGGGCAGAAGTAGCAACTATAGCGCAGGAGACTTGAAGTTCCTTGAGAAATGTTCGATGAACACTTTAGAACAGAAACATACTTAAATATGTTGCCAGAATTTTACTTTTCAAATGCATTTAAGCAAGGTCATGAAAAATGAAAATATTCAGATGTTTGGCCTAGCTTTGCTTGCCTTGAGGCAGAAGACAGCAAACCTTCATTTCAGGATTTTGTGCAAGAGATACAGGGCCATTCTGATGATCAGATGGGAGACAGCAGCACCGAGAGCCCTTCTCATTGGCTTCTCCCTAACTCAGGGGTCTCAACCTCGCGGCCTGCGGGCCAATTGCCGGGACGGACGGGGCACGGGGGAGGGACCCTGCGGCCTACAAAGCGCCGGCGGCGCCCGGGCCGGCCTCCGGGAGCAACACGGATGAGCGGCCCACCACCACCGCTTGATGCGACCCAGCCTCACCCAGACTCTACTTCCAGCGGCCCCCAGGTAAGCTGAGTTTGAGACCCCTGCCCTAGCTCTTTCCCTTTGCTGGAGGACAGAGAGCTGTATGCCACACCACCTTAAGAGCTCCTGTCATGATGGTTAAAGTGCGAATCAAATACTAATCAGCTTGGTTTCTGTGGATGGAACAGGGAGGGGGCAGACAGCTTCTCCTTCCCCTCAAGCAGCAACATGTCTTAGGTTGGTCCTGGGATGTGGAAGGGAAGGAAGATCTTGGAGGCTGCCTGTTTGTGATTCTCCACATGACAGGATCTTAATGATGTAGAAATGCAGAGACACGGAGTTGTTGGGAAAGATAAAGGTCAGTATTGACAGAAGCAGGAAGCAACCTATCAAACAGCAGATCAGGGAACGGAGATGCAACCTTGGGGTTACACTACTGAAGATTCAGAACTGCAGTTTGGGTCTACTCTTGGACTCAGCCCAGGCCCTCTGGTGGCCAGGAGCCAGCCTGCACACTGAGGTTAGTATGTCAACCGCACCCATGACCACACAGTCGCTTCCCATTTCATGTACATTCACACTGTACATGGGACTGCATTTGAAATCTGGGCAGAAACTGAAGCTGCTTCAGAATGCTGTAGCCAACTTGTTGATCAGAGTGTTACAGGGAGCAAATAACCCAAGTGTTATAGAGACTTGGGTTTTATAGGCTACTGGTCTATTTCTGGGTAGAATTCAAAGTGCAAGTTATGAGCAATAACACCCTATAAAGCTTGGGACCGGAATTTCTGGAATTCCATCTTCTCCCATATGACCCTGTCCCCATTTCTTAAGATCTTTTGCAGAGGCCCTTCTTTCAGGACTTACAATCACAGGCAAGTTCAGTGGTTATATGAAATGGCCTTTTTCGTAGCTACTTCCAGACTAGTGAAGGCTTCCAAGGGAGGCTAGGCTTGTTCCCTTACCTTCTGCTGGCAGGCAGGCAGGCAGGCAAATACTGCTTGATCCAAGAAGGCCTATGTAAGTGGACCTGTTGGGGAGGGTGCTGTTTTCATTCTTTAACTATTGTTTTTACCCCATCTTAATATATTATTTAAAACAGTTTTAACTGTCCCTGTAAGCCACCTTGAATACTATTTTTTGCTAAAGTACAAATCAAATACATCACTCAATCAATGAACCCCACCCATCATTCCAAAACCATCCATCACCTGGATCATGCAATTCTGCACTTATTTCTGTCAAGTTTCTTGCCCACCTCCTGCATGCAAGGGCAATTAAAAATATATTTCCTTGTCCAATCCAAAACATTCAGACTTAAAACTAACCTATTTCAAAAAATTCCAGCAAGAAATAAAAGCTACCAAAAAAAAGTATGCTTCAGCACTTGGTGAATATTCTGTAATACTTTTCCAGTCACTTTCTCCTAGTGTCCAGATTTCTTGGCCAACTGCACCTTTCTATACACTTACCCATGTAAAGGTGCCAGCTGCTTTAAAGTGCTGCAGTGCCAGACTTGCCTGGAAAAACAAGCATAAAGGTATGAAGAGCTTGCACAATCACGAGCTTTTCATCTCATGGCCAGAATTGCCCTTAAACCAAAAATGGAGACATGCCATTCAACACTGCACTGACACCACTAAATCAGATGTACAAGTGGGAAAGAATGGCAAGTCCCATGTGTCGCCACTGATGCTCCAGGGGATTCAGGCCTGGGCTTGGACTGGCTCACGCTAAGATATTCAGGCTCTTGTTTCTAAACCGTTCCAGTGTTGCTCTGGCTGTGTGTCCAGGACCACTGTACTGTTGGAAGGTGAACCCTTGCCCAGGTCCCCTGACACAAGTTTTCCCGTAGAAGCATCCTGTATTCGGCACCATCCATCACACCTTCGCTCTTGGCCAGTTTCCCACTCCTGGCTGAGGTGAGGCACCCCCACCAGATGCTGCTGCCGCCACCACCACCACGCTGCCCCGTGGGATGGTGTTCTCAGCACCACAAATGCTGTTGGCTTTGCACCACACTTTGGAGCAAGGCCAGCAAGTTCATTGCCGGTCTTGTCAGACTGGAAAAACATTTCCATGCTCGCTGTGTCTCCTACATGCATTCTTGCAAATTCCAAAAGGCCTTCGTTTTAGCAATGGCTTTCTTCTCACCAGTCTTCCATAGAGCCCAGCTTTGTGAAGCGTTCAGGTGACCCTTTTCCCAGGGAAAGTAAATACTTAAGCAACCAACAACTGCCAGTTTGTTCTGGTTTACTGAACCTTCATGCCACAACAGAGATATTTTGCACCTTCACAATGTTAAAAATCTTGTGTATATCAAGTGGTAACAATACCTATTCAATCCATTTCAATTCCAAATTTCCCACGGAGTCCATGGAACTTAGAGCATAATAATTGCACTCAGGATGGCAACACAAACCCCTACAAACTCTGTTAGAGTTACTTTTCAGTAGACATGCTTATGCTTATACTGAAAAGTGTTAGCATTCTTATTCAAACCAAATAGAAGCTTTAACTTGTGCATGTAGAGTATAACCAAATACCCAACACCAGTAGTCATTTTTAAAAATCCAATAATCTTGGCACAATTAATGATTTTCGTGAAGATACTGAATACTTTTATATTTTTCAGCTCATTTCATATGGATTTCTTTTCAAATCTTAATAATGAATGCATTTGGCATTAATATTTTTAGCTGCACCTTAAGAATTTCCTTTGGAAACCACTTTTGTATGAAAACTGATTGATGTCTAAAGGAACGCCTGCTTCCATATTTGTCCTCCTGCCCCTTGAGATCGGCAGCAGAGGCCCTCCTCCAGGAACCCTCCGTGAAAGAAATTAGGAGGGTAGGTACCCGGAGGAGGGCTTTCTCTGCGGTGGTGCCCCACCTATGGAATGTGCTCCCCAGAGAGGTCCGCCTGGCGCTGTCGTTACTTGTTTTTCGGCGCCAGGCCAAGACCTTTTTATTTAAACAATATTTTAATAATTATTAATATTATTTATTGGTTTTAAATTTTTAGCCAGGATGAATCCAGATTTTCTATGTACTTATCTGTATGTTTGTTTATTTATGATGTTGGAAGCCGTCCCAAGGCTTATGCGAATGGGACGGTGTACAAAAATTCCAAATAAATAAATAAATGTCAAACCATACATAGAATGGCACTTCTAGGCAGTACCTGTTAGACATCATAGCTTGACTCACAATGAACTGCGATGTGTCATTCTACATGTCTCTAACACAGTTCTGTTACACTGAAATATAATCTTATGATGCGAAGAACGATCAGAAGCTAAATTCCAACAGAACTGAACTGGTATTTCTTGCACTCACAGATCAGCCATGCATTTCGTTCTCAACCACCTCATACAATCATATCGGCCTGACTCTCACGAACCAACTTCTGCAATGCAGTTGCGAAACTTCCATTTCATGATCTGATTTCCCAGTACTGTCTCCCTAGAATGGGTGTGGATAATCTGTTAGTTTCATGGCACACTTTTTTCCGCAATCCAAGCGTCTGTTGCCTCGGTAATAAAAACACCATGCAGCTGCTTCCCGTCAGCCCTAATGGGGCTTTAGACTTGGTCTTTAATGGGCGACAACCACTCCAATTGCCACTGGACTGGTGCAAGCCTCTTCTCGGAGCCTTCAGTGATTTGAGTGCAGGCTCAAGTTTTTAAAAACCTAAACGGTTTCCACGGAGGAACATTCACAATTACTCTAGTGAACTGGAGTAATGCGTGCACACACCCATCTGTCATTTATTAAATTTGACTCAAATACCAGAAAATTATAGCACTATTGTGACTCCTTCGAAGGGATCTGAGGAGTGCTCAGGTCGTTATCACACTGCCCAAGGAATTTTCTCAGTATACTCAGTGACAGGTAAGATGCTGCACTGAAACAAATTTACGACAGTTCATGTCTTGGTCAATTCTTTTGATTCTTCTTTGCCACCCGTATCTTCAACCAGACCTTTAAGCCGGGATAAATGGTGTAAAGCCCTGTAAACGAGGCAAAAACAAAAGGCTGTATAGCTTACTTATATGAATACTTATTGGCAGGCTAGTGATACAACGAATTCTGAGTCAGCCTCAGGGTGTCCTCACACCGCATGTTCAGCACTCTTAGAGAAATGACCAATGGCAATAAAAGAGGTAAGCAAATGCTATCATCTTCATATTTCTGTGCACATTTATGTGCTATTCTTGGGGTACATCAGAGCACAGCAGAGGTGCATATTACTCCTATACTGCAAAAAGGTCTGAGCACTCAAGTGATTGTCCTTCTTAGGGACATAAAAGAAGCCCCGCTAGATCAGTCCCATAATTAATCTAGTCCAGCATCCTGCTTCCAGCCTAGGGCACCCAGATGCTTCCAAGAATGCTGCACCGCAGCTGAATTCTAACAAACCCCAGTGTACTCTCTTCTTCCAGGATGGAGATCATTAAAGATCACACGAATAGCACCACAATCACAGGTAACTATGTTCTCAACTGGTAAGTTTATTTTAAAATCTCACTTGTTTAGGATTCTTTGGCTGAAAAACAACCAGTTGTATCAATTGACAGCATAGTCTAGAAAATGGGGAAGTCAAATTGATTGAAGGAGATACTGCTTCTGGATATAACTATTATAATTCCCCAGAACTTCCTGCATGTTGCTGCAGTGAAGGAAATAACATAAACCAGGGCATCCTTACCAAAAGTTCAATCCTGAGAAGTCCCACCAACATAGTTTTTCTTCTCATTAAGGGAACAGGAGAAGAAAATAAAGTGAACAGTGCTTCCTGGGACTGGACACTGGTGTAGATGATGATGATCACTACTACATAACATTATTATATTATATTTACATATTATATTATATGATCCAGATGTTATGATTCCACACATGGCTGCAGCAAATGGGGGTGATTCGGCAGGGTGAGGGAGTAAATATGCATACCGAGACCAAAGTGCACTGAACTAGTCCAAGTTAAACTTGTTTAGGGATTTCAGTCTCAGGAAAAAATACCATGCTCACCTCTGAAGGGACCTTCTTACAGGGATCACATCGTGATCAGACAGCTTAAATTTCACATCTTCCTCTAAAGCCTGAAAAAGAAGGAAAGCTCAAGGGTACATATCTGCTGCTTTAAAATATCCTTAACTCACCCCCGCTGGGAAACTACAGAGAGAACATTTCAAAGGCCATTTACATTTCCTCTGCATTAGCCAGCAGGCACATTCCTGTTTTACTAAAATACAGCTTTACTCCTGTCTTCAAGTGTGAATTAACCTCTTATTTAAAAAGGACGAACCCTTTCTAACAAATATGGCATTATTAGTTATTTAATATCTTTATCAGCCAATTGCCTAATCTCTCTGGGTAGTTTCCAACAGCACATTTAAAATACAATAAAAATCACCATATTAAAACATCATTAAAATACAATCTCCTTCATGGATCACTGCCTTGTCATGGCGAAGGGGCTTGCATAGCTCAATGAAGCTACGAGCTATGCCGTGCAGGGCCACCCATGACGGAGAGCTCTGACAAAACATGATCCACTGGAGAAAGAAATGGCAGCCCACTCCAGTATCCTTGCCATGAAAACCCCATGGACAGTACCAAAAGGCAAAAAGATATGATGCCAGAAGATGAGCCCCTCAGGTCGGAAGGTGTCCAATATGCTACTGGGGAAGAGCAGAGGGCTAGTACTAGTAGTGCCAGAAAGAATGAAGCGACTGGGTCAAAGCCGAAAGGACACTCAGTTGCTGATGTATCTGGTGGTGAAAGGAGAGTCCGATGCTGCAAAGATCTATACTCCATAGGAACCTGGAATGTAAGATCCATGAATCAAGGCAAGCTGGATGTGGTCAAACAAGCGATGACAAGACTGAACATCAACATCTTAGAAATCAGTGAACTAAAATGGACAGGAATGGGTGAATTTAATTCAGATGACCATCAGATATCCTACTGCAGGCAAGAATCCCTCAGAAGAAATGGAGTGGCCTTCATAGTGAATGAAAGAGTAGGAAAAGCAGTATTGGGATACAATCTCCAAAATGACAGAATGATCTCAGTTCGAATTCAAGGCAAACCATTCAACATCACAATAGTCCAAGTCTATGCCCCAACCACTGGTGCTGAAGAGGCTGAAGTTGACCGGTTCTATGAAGGCCTACAACACCTTCTAGAATTAACACCCAAAAATGATGTCCTTATCATCATGGGGGATTGGAATGCTAAACTAGGAAGCCAAAAGATGATGATGATGATGATGATGATGATGATGACATTTCTATACCGCCCCTTGCCGAAGCCTCGGGGCGGCTTACAACACAATAAAATACACTGAAATACAATAGAACATAATAAATTACCATTAAATACAAACATACGAAAAATACATTGAGTTACAAACATAATAATATAAAATTAAAATTATCAGTATAAAATAAGTAAATAAATAGTATAGGAGGAGAAAAGAGAAGGAAGAAGAAGGAAGAAAGATAACTGGAATGACAGGCAAGTTTGGCCTTGGAGTACAAAATGAAGCAGGGCACAGGCTGGTAGAATTTTGTCAAGAGAATACGATGGTCATAGCAAACACTCTTTTCCAACAACCCAAGAGATGACTCTACACATGGGCATCACCAGACGGTCAACACAGAAATCAGATTGACTATGTGCTCTGCAGCCAAAGATGGAGAAGCTCTATATAGTCAGTAAAAACTAGACCAGGAGCTGACTATGGCTCAGATCATGAGCTTCTGGTTGCAAAATTTAGGCTTAAATTGAAGAAAGTAGGGAAAAGCACTAGGCCACTCAGGTATGACCTAAATCATATCCCTGATGAATATACAGTAGAGGTGACAAATAGATTTAAGGAATTAGATCTGATAAGAGTGCCTGAAGAACTATGGACGGAGGTTCGCAACATTGTACAAGAGGCAGCAACTAAAACCATCCCAAAGAAAAAGAAATGCAAGAAAGCAAAATGGCTGTCTGAGGAAGCTTTACAAATAGCTGAGGAAAGAAGGGAAGCGAAAGGCAAGGCAGAAAGAGAAAGATACAAACAATTGAATGCAGAATTCCAGAGAATAGCTAGAAAAGAATGCCTTCTTAAATGAACAGTGCAAAGAAATAGAAGAAAACAATAGAATAGGAAGGACCAGAGATCTCTTCAAGAAAACTGGAGATATGAAGGGAACATTTCATGCAAAGATGGGCATGATAAAGGAACCAAATGGCAGGGACCTAACAGAGGCAGAAGAGATTAAGAGAAGGTGGCAAGATTACACAGAAGAACTACACAACAAAGAGCTTAATATCCCTGATAACCACGATGGCGTGGTCAATAACCTCGAGTCAGACATCCTGGAATGTGAAGTCAAATGGGCCTTAGGAGGTCTGAGCAACAACAAAGCTAGTGGAGGCAACAGTATTGCAGCTGAGTTATTCAAAATCCTAAAAGACGATGCAGTAAAAGTGCTACACTCAATATGCCAGCAAATTTGGAAAGCTCAACAGTGGCCACAGGATTGGAAAAGGTCAGTTTACATTCCAATCCCAAAGAAAGGCAATGCCAAGGAATGTTCAAACTACCGCACCATTGCACTCATTTCACATGCTAGCAAAGTTATGCCCAAAATCCTACAAGCTAGGCTCCAGCAGTATGTGGACCGAGAACTACCAGAAGTACAGGCAGGATTTCAAAGAGGCAGAGGAACTAGAGATCAAATTGCCAACATACGCTGGATCATGGAGAAAGCTAGGGAGTTCCAGAAAAATATCTACTTCTGCTTCATTGACTATGCTAAAGCCTTTGATTGTGTGGATCACAACAAATTGTGGCAAGTTCTTAAAGAGATGGGAGTACCAGACCATCTTATTTGCCTCTTCAGAAACCTATATGCACGTCAAGAAGCAACAGTGAGAACTGGACACGGAACCACTGATTGGTTCAACATTGAGAAATGAGTTCGGCAAGGCTGTATACTGTTGCCCTGTCTATTTGACTTATATGCAGAGCACATCATGAGAAAGGCAGAGCTAGATGAATCACCAGTTGGAATTAAGATTGCTGGGAGAAATATCAACAACCTCAGATATGCAGATGATACCACTCTCATGGCAGAAAGTAAAGAAGAACTAAAGAGCCTCTTGATGCGGGTGAAGGAGGAGAGCGCAAAAGTTGGCTTGAAACTCAACATTA